AAAACAAGTCGAGGCAAGGTATCTTTAGTAACAAAATTCATCTTAAATTCTCCTCTGCATTGTGGTTTAATTACAAGTTTCGGAATAGCTTCACTTTTGGAATGCAATATCTACAGCGAATTGAGTTAGTTTGACCATTAGAGTCCTCTTAGACCCAAAACTATCAAACCTCGAAGGAATCTGGGAGAAAAACTATCAATATATATACAAGTAGCCATATCTTAGGATTTCCAAAGCTTTCAAGTATCTCTAACATCAAGCGTACGTATGTGGAATAGCATTTGTTCAAAATTTGTGAACATGACAGTTCTTGGTCTACGTAGGTATTCAGATATACCCGTTCTCTTTCCACCTTATCCTCGCTGCCGAACCCGAGCGAAGGCCATTTAAGAAAATATTTACTACTCGTCGGACATCGCAACCCCGCAAGCCTACAAGTCACGAATTCCCGCAGCCAAACTCTCCTTCAGCGGTGTCCAGCCCTGACCAAAGTACTCCTGCAGCAACTTCTCAGCCTTGGCCGCTGGGGGAAGCTCGCTGATATCACGCCCCTCGTCCGCCTGCTTCTCCGGGATCAGCTTGTTGTCCGGTCTCAGCTCACGGAAGGCGTCAATGAAGTCGGATGCGTTGACGGGGTGTGCTGAGGCCCAGATTCTCTGAGACTTGACGGGTTCGGCGAGCAGGGCGATGGCGTGGAGACGCGCGACGTCGACTACGTCGACGTACCACTCTGTCAAAGTCGTTAGTCTGGCGTACATAAAGACGTGCCGGATGAAGGCGAGGTGAGACTTACGAGGCATAAAGGCGTTGAGCATGCCGCCCTGTCCCTTGAGCAGATCACGAGCGAAGCCCATGGTTGAGCCACCGATATTGGGGTGGAGGATCTCTCCAGTCTACGAACCGGTTTAGCGCTGTCATCGCAGTGATTATGGACATAATACTCACATTAAAGTTGGGCAGGATGGTGTTGAACGAGTATCCAGGCTTGTTCTCCTCAATCCACTTCCACGCAGCCCTCTCGCCCTCAGCCTTGGAAGCAGAGTAAATCGCGCCGGGCTTGATCTCCTTGGGCGTGTTCGGGTCCCACGCTGCCTTGATAGCAAAGTCGTTCCAGGTACCTGAAGGAAAATCAGTCAGCATCACGGGAGGATGAATTTCAGTTTCTCATGGCACAGCGTACTTTCGTCAATGTGCATCTCCTTGTTGGGCTGAGGAATGACGGCGGCAAAAGCAGAAGATGTGAGGACGAAACGCTTGATGCTCGAGTGCTTTGCCGCGGCGGAGAGGGCCGTCTCAGTCGCCTTTACGACCCAGGGGATGACGGCTTTAGGGTCATCACTCATTGAAATGTCGGACGCCTATTCCGCGTGGATCAGCCGCTGGTTTCCTTACTCTGATTGATCTGTCAGACTCTCTCGATAATCACTTACCACATGTGCAACACCAGATACACCAGCCATGGCCTTGCCGAGAGCCTCCTCGTCCTCGAGATTGGGGACGAGGACTAATTCAAAGGCGTCCTTGTCATATTTGCTGTGGAAGAACTCGCTGAGCCACGGCTTCTCTGATCGAACTGTGCCGCGCACCCGGTAGCCGAGTCCGAGGAGGACGTTGATCGTGTGAGATCCGATGTATCCATTAGCTCCAGTGACGAGGATGAGCGAGCCCTTCGGAAGTGCGGTGAACCCAGACATAATGTTCAGCTACAATCGAGAATTGGGTATGATAGCAGATAGGGAATGTTCAAGGGAGATCTAGATAGATATGTATGCTCAGGATGCTTTGAAGTTGAATTGACGGTTTGACTAAATGGACTGTGCACATATATATTCATCTCATGTTGTAAACACCGACGGGTTTAAATCCCATGCAGGCGGTGGGCCGTGGAGAACGGCAAGCGGTCCATTACTAACATTCACAGATTCCACTAGAAGTGGATTTGCTTAGAAGCCAACGACCCCTCCTTCGAAGCGGTGGTCTAAAATGCAACCAAAGACGCAGATGTGGACGCCAAATCGACGCTTGGATAATGACGTATGCATGACCACCCTGTCTAAAGCTCTTGGTCTGCGGTAGCCTAAGCCTTTGGTTGTCGATTTAATCATCCCCCGGTAAGGTAGCGGTCGCATTTGCATCGAGCGAAAGCGAGGGAGCCTATCCGCCCACGGATTGGCAATATCTCTTGGCGTTAGACTAGATAAGGTTGATGGTTGGGGTGGTTGGGTGGCTGTCTGTAGGTTGAGTGTTGGTTTGTGGCTTATGAATCGTGCATGCAGCTCGCAGCATGTTTCCTAAATTGGCTACGGTGCTGACATGTAGTTGAATGGTTTGAAATTCAACAGGTGAGAGCAAGTGAAGGCAACAAGATGAACAGCTTAATAATGCAGGATCGCCGTGGCTTTTAGTTCGCAAGAGGGATTCTCGAGGGTATCATGAGCAGCCTTACATGCTAATCAAGCAGAAACAAGCGATGAAGTGGTTGAACTCTTTATGGTCAATGAATTGCTATAAGAAGGAAAAATCACCTTCAGTCACATCCCGCAAACTACTAAACAGTCGGTTGATGAGCTAGCTAACGCTACGCAGTGGTTCCCGCACACTTACAACTCTCTTTACTTTTAGAACTCATGTGACGCGAAATGTCACTGGTTAGCTTGTGAAGTAATTATCAGCCGCAGTGTCGGCATTTTAACATTGAGTTCTACGAGAAGCACTTGTAGACTACGGCTTGCTCGAGCAGCTTGAGCGTACCGAAGTTACATGTATCAATCTGACCAATTACAATTTCGTCTCGGTGCTTACTTACTTCAAAGCTGAAAGCTGAAAGCTTATGCAAGCCGTCTAAGCACGACGATTGCTTTGGCAGTCCTAATAACTCAATTATATGAGAGATTCGATCAATGGCTTCAACACAAGTCTGCAAGGTATGCCTCTCAGAGCTGAAGGCTCTGGTTTAGATTGATAGAGAGACAGCCAGACTGCCAGCAAGACACGTCTCTTGCAAATGACTTGATTGACAAGCCTACGCTGTCTGTCCTGTAGTATACCACACTTTGCATGGCTTCCGCCTGACCTGTCTAATACTTTATACAGTTTTTTGCATCAATGACTCGGAGTAGATGTGAAGCGGATTTTCTCCGATACTTGGGCTTTTTACTTGAATATTGCTTGTCCGTGATAGAAAGGACCTTCGTCCTCTGAACAGAAATAGAATGGCAGCCAACTACTGAACAGTATTCTCTGTCATTCGTCAAAACGTTTCTTGACCCGGGAAATATTATGCGCAACTTGAGTGTTCTGCATTGAACAGGCATCCCTACTATCTAGTTGCTTTATGATGGTGGGAATCCCATCCAGTGTTGAATGACGTTAGTGAATTGACCTCTAGTTTTCTCTAATGCCAATGCATTTTTGAGTTTTCAATCAAATGTGTTGAAATAACTTAGAATGGTGATAATATGAATTATGAAGTAATAATACGTGATCTGTTACTACGTTACGTGCTGTGGCGATGCATTGACGCTGACGCTATCCAGCAGTCGATGGGGTACTGGTGCGAGTTCTTTGATGGCTCACAGGAACTTGGGATGACCAGGCATAGCTATGGCCATGAAATTATGCAGACATGTTCAAGTTGTATATTAAGATCCTCCAGTTGCCAGAGATCGGGTATGGATCTGTGCTCCACGAAACTCGATCGTCTCTGTAACAATCTCACGTGCCCCAGTTGAGGAAACGGCAACGGCACTCCAACGGCTAGATGGAAGGGTCGCTTGGACCACTTACGTTGGGGAATGCCAGGTGGTTGGGGAAGTTCGGGGAACAAGTCTCGGGGGGAGCATCGGCTGACAACGTGGGAAGGATTCTGCAGGGAGGGCTGGCAACGTGGCAAGCCGGGGGTTGCAGAAGAATGATGCCCGGCGGCTCAGGATCGAAAGGTCCAGCCCATTTTGTAGGTATGCTGGTCTCGATTGATAATACATTCCGTCCGCAGCATTCTGGAGTGATGCGGGAGAGCGAGAAGTCTTGATCCCGTTGGGGCTAATTGTACGGAAATAATGTAGATGGAATGCGAGCATAGTCGCATTCTTGGGTGTGTGTAGGTATTGGGGCGTGGAAAGAGCTCACATGCTATTTGGGTAACGTAACGGTACACATGACAGAATGGACAGAATGGTACAGGAGGGGATGAGCAGACATGAGATGAACAAGGCCAGCCCCTGACTGTCGACGAAATCTACACCGGCCGGCAAACGAGCAGTGACACGAAGAAGAAATCCTACAAATTTCTTTTTCCTCCATCCCTTGATCCCCTTTTTCTCATAAGAAAATAACGGATCTGATGTGCTTGGAGCACAAGTAATGTAGGTAAGACTTAACGCTGTTAGTGAACTCGTACCCGGTACAAACGGCCAGATCCACATCCAAGAAGTGTAGCAGGGCAGCAGTGCAAATTCCGCAACCGAGGAACCTCCGATAAGTACCACACGGGAGAATGAGGGGCATGAGACTTGGCCTGCTATCAGCAACTACTGTAAACAAATTGGCATCTGGGGCAGATCCCATTTCATGGAAGCAGGCAATTCCTTATCGGAGATCATCTTCAGTCTTACACTAAAGGACTAGGGACTTTACCTTGGGTGTGTTTCGGCACGATTCGGTTCAACAAGAACCCTGGCCTAGCACACAGAAACCCAACACACACAGAAACGAAACAAGAGAAAAGAGAAGAGTCGCTACGCAGTACTGTTAGGTGTTTGAGGGTATGAGGGCAAGGAGGGGCTGTCGAATCACCAATTGAGTCACACTGTGACACAGTCACATTCACACATGCACATATGCATCTCGTGCTCCAGTTTTCCCCCTCATACTTCAGCCAGGCTGAGCCCGTACGGCTACGGAGCAGAGGGCAATGGAGGGGCATCTCAGGCCTGGCCTGGGACGCCCACAGTCCGCGAATAGACAGAGTTGCGGGTAATGGGAGGACCCTTGTCTTGCCCTCACGGCTCCTCTCCACCGTCCACGTCCTTGGGCTGGATTAGGCGAAAATCCAATCCCACTGTGGGCAAAGCACGCAAGTTAATAATGGAACGGAGTCGGAAGAAGGCCACAATTCGAGATGGCCCTCGTGGTCCTGTAGGGCTGGGCGTTGTCGAGGACCTCGGCGATGTTTTACAGACTCTCTTGCTCATGCTGCTGCCGCCTTGGAGATTTCTTTGGGAGCACCGAGGACAGTCTGACCATTGCTCAACCATGTCGCTGATATCTGCGATCGGAATAAAGCAGTCAGTTCAGTTCATGCCTCGGTCTTTCAGGATAGGCCCCGGAACCTGAATGAGGCGGCGCCACAATCGCTTTGAGTATTCGCTCGCCTTTAGCTTAGCGAGTTTCCTTGTCTCGCATTGCGCAAGTACCCGTGCCGGGGCTTGACTGAACAGAGAGTCCTAAGAGGAATTCGTCACCAACTTGATTTGGGAAGATGAACACCACAGCCCAGCATTCAGGATCTTTTCTTATCAAGATGGAACGAGCGAGGATGCAGATAAGAGCGTTGATTGTAGGTACATGTCTGACCGGACTGACCTCATCAGACATGAATGAATGCACTCCGTACCCTGCTCAGCTCTGCTTCTGCTTCGCCTCTTGGCTTCCGAGAGACAGCAGCCAGTCGGCAGCACGTTTGGTAGCAAGCGGGAAGCAAGGCAACCCAATCTGGGCCCAATCTGGAAGCATGACGATGTTTGGACAATAAATGAATGGGTGAGGTTCATGACGGTGAATGTAATACGAAGCAACGGAATACTTGATCATTTTTTCCACTGCATTTTACCGCAGCGCACCCGTACCGTACCTACCTTAACTGCTGTTTTGGTAGGTAAGTAACGGAAAGAAAGTACCCGACCGCACCATCCTTTCTCCCCTGAACCACACGGAATAAGAGGTATACGCAAGGTACCCCGTGACATTCGTTCAATGTCCACTGTTCAGTGTTTCCGTCAGCTTCTTCGACCCCAGAGAGCTCCGAGGGTGCGCGCGCACGCACACAAACAGAGCCAAACATCCGTAGCCGCAGCCGCAGCCGCACGTCAGCAGCAAAACAACCGCTGCCAGACTTGGTGCACCTGAAAGTACGAATACCTACCTACCTACCTTTTCCTTGGTCATTACCTACCTTACCTTACCTTAGTACCTGACGTGCCGACTGGGACAAGAGTAATAAGGGCCGTCCTTTCTTTCACCAGGGCACACCCGCTGTCCATCCCACCTCTGCCACCCGACCTCTTCCTCTTCCTCCCACTGCGGCCAAGCCAAAGTGCCAACCTGGGAACTCCGACGACCGACCCTCCGACTCTTAAGTCCCTACTGCGTAGAAAGCCAGCGATTCCATTGGGCCAAAAGAGCACCTTTACCTTACCTAAGGTAACCGTACCTCAAACCCACCGCTGCGCAATCCAATCTCGACGACGTCCAGTGGCCCATCTCACCCTCACCACAGCCATTCTCTCTTCCCGAGTCCAAAAACCACCACGCATCCACGAATCCACACCCACACACACACACACACACACACACACCACCCCTCCTCTCCCCCAACACCGACAAGGAGAGAGAAAGACAGCGAGACGTACGGAGGAAAGAACCCACGCGACCACATTCGAAGCGTCCGATACATATCTATCCGACAACCGACGACAGGCTCCGGCTTCAGCCCGTCCTTTCCATCGCTAATTCTCCTTGCACACGAGGCTTAGAGCGCCAGCGCGCCCTCTGTACAACAGCAATCACCGTACCTTTTCCCGCTTTTGTACGTACCCTGGTCCTCTGGCTACTGTCCTACTCCTCCTCCCCCCGAACTCGTTGCCTCACTGCCTGGGCTCGCTGCTCCCTACTGCTTTGCTTCATTCATGGTGCTTCCTGTTGCTCTCCGCTTGCCTGGAAAGAGTACGCGCGTTGCGAGCTGGGTTGGCTCGAAATCCCCTCTGTCATCCATCGCTTCGCGGCTGGGTTTTCCCCTCTCCTTCGAGACTGGATCGTCAATTTTCCCTCATCTCTTCCCTCCCCCTCTATTATCAATCAGCTCCTCTTTTCTGGGCCCGATGCGCCGGCCCCTCCACTCCGCCGGCGACAACATCTGCAGACCTCACCACCACCACCATCACCACCACCACCATCAAGCCCTGCTTTTCCTGCTCTGCCTTCGCTTGTCAGCAAAAGCCTTCTAGACAATCTCTTTGCTGACACTTCCTCCTCGCTCAGCCGCCAAGTCATTCAAGCGACCGATACCCCCAAACCCGTCCTTCGCATGCGTTGAACCTAAGGTATAGAGAAAACGATTGGCCATTTATTACTCTCGCTACGATTCGATTTCTGCGGCCGATACACGCCCTTTGTCTATTCCATTAAGACATACGAATTTCGCATGCTCAATCATCAGGTTGCTGCCCAGTTGATTGTTTTATCGCTCTTTGTCCATCGTCGCCGCGACTCGTCCGGCGCCGTGACATAGACAACCCACAAATACCGCCACCATGTTCTGGAGATTTGGCGGATACGCCAACATATCCACCATCGATACTATCCTCGAAAAGCCCGAATTTACCGTCGAAGACCTCCTCGACGAAAGCGACCTGATTCAAGAGCTCAAGCAGCACAATACGAAGCTTATCGAATACCTCCGCGAGGACAATGTGCTCAAGACTCTGCTCGAATATGTCGTCGCACCCAAGTTAGAGCCCGTCGCCACCCCAGAACCAGATGAACCCGCCGAGGAGATCAAGGGCAAGGGTCGCCTCCTTCCCTTTTCAAGACCTCGCGCCTCATCCCGAGCTACCGATACCGACAACGAGGAGGAAGAGCAGGAGAAGAAGCGCAATCGTTATGCCTACGTTGCTGCCGAAGTCTTGTCATCCGACACGTGGTCCATTTACGAGGCCATGATGGAAAACCAAGACCTGGTGCGGGAATTTTGGCAGTTTCTGAAGCGCCCGACGCCTCTTGACCCCCTGCAAGCCAGTTACTTTACGAAAGTCAACGAGGCTTTGTTCGACAAGAAGACGGAGGAGATGGTTATCCTTCTCAAATCTCTCCCCGAGGCCGTGCCCGACTTGCTCCGTCATGTTGAGTGCCCTATGATTATGGATCTGCTTCTCAAGATCATTGCCCTAGACCGCACAGAGGGCGGCCAGGGTGTTGTAGAGGTGCGTACAGCCCAGCAATCCCCCCTTCCCCCATCCCCGCCGAACAAGGTTGAGAGCTAATCGTACCCTTTCTTGCAGTGGCTATACGGCCAAGACGTTGTGCCGACGCTGCTATCCTGCCTCAGCCCGGAGCACAGCTGGGTTGTTCAGACAGCTGCAGGCGACTTCATCAAAGCCATCATTACCATTTCGGCCAATGCATCGCAAAACGAGCAGCAATGCATCGGCCCGAACGAACTCACCCGCCAGCTGGTGTCGCAACCCTGTGTGGAACAGCTGATCAAGTACATGTTAGGAGGTGGAAACCCGCTGACCGTGGGTGTCGGCATCATTATCGAAGTCATCAGGAAGAATAACTCGGACTATGATCCAGACGTTGGCACCGAAGCCAACTCTGTTCCCTCGAGCCGAGACCCCATCTATCTAGGAACCCTCCTCCGCTTGTTTGCGCAACACATTCCCGATTTCGTCAACCTGATTATGAACATTCCGGTGCAGAAGGGACCGTTGGAATCGACCTTTGGCGAAAAGATAGAGCCTCTTGGCTTCGACCGATTCAAGACGTGCGAGTTGATGGCCGAACTGCTTCACTGCAGTAACATGGGCCTACTCAATGAAGTTGGTTCCGAGGACGTGATTGCAGCTCGAGATGCTGAGCGTCAGCGCTTAAGAACGGAGGGTAAGCTTACCCCAAACCGTGGAGAAGAACCGCCATCATCTACGGATGACTTGACGATGCGCATCGGTCGTTCTTCTCCCGAGGAGGGACGTCGTTTAGAGGTAACCAATATCTCAGACGATGACGGATTCGAAGAGGTTGAGCCCAGCCGCGAAATGAACGAGGACACGTCCCACGAGTTCGTAAAAGCCGAAGAAGAGATTCCTGTCGCTGCACCAGCCTCGTCCTTCCTGGACAGAGACGAAGACGACTTTGTGGACGAGCCGCTCAGCTCGCCCAGACTCAACGTCGCAGATGACAAAATCAAGGAACAACGATTTGATGACCCCGATCTGGTGGTCGCTCCCCTTTCGCCCAACAAGCCAAAGACTGCTTCCATCGATGAGACTGCTGCAGCAGCAGCGGTTTCCGAAGCCAAGTCCGAATTGGAGGCGAAGCCGGATTCCGTTGATGCCAAGAGTGAAGAGCCGGCTGCGAAAGAATCAGAATCTGAGAAGACTGAGAAGACTTCCGGCGCAGACGACCTGGCTGACAAGACCTCGGATGATGCTACCATTAACAAGGTAGAGGAACTTTCGCTTGACGAGAAGGCTGATCAAACGGTTGTTCCCGAGGACAATCAGAAGGGTGACGAGTCCGACTCTTCTGTTGTCTATACGCCTAGCGTCACCGATTCTGAGGCGAAAACCGAGCCAGCAGAGACCGCGCCGGCAGTGCCTGAACCTCCCCAGCACCCCGAAGACATGCCAGCCCCTCTGTTTTCCAAATCCACCACTGATCCTGATGCGACTGCGGACAAGGACGATACTTCTAAGGAGACCGAATCCGAAGTTGAGCCAGCTCCGGAGGTTCCCATGGCCCCTCCAGTTCCCGAGGTGCCAGAAGCCCCCGCGGCTCCAGGAACTGACGACGATGCGACAAGGGAGGCTGGAGACCTACCGCCTGCTGTTCCCGATCGGCCTGACCCGAACAGCGTGAAGCCTGTTGTCGGCGACTACCTCAAGGTGCAATTTGTCGAATACCGTGTTGTGCCCACGATTCTGGTGAGTTCCTCGTGATGATGCGTCATCAATCCAAGCTAATCAGAGTTTAGTCCTTCTTCTTTGCTTACCCGTGGAACAACTTTCTCCATAACGTGGTATATGATATCGTTCAGCAGGTTTTTAACGGGCCTATGGACAGAGGCTACAACCCGACCTTGGCAGTTTCACTGTTTGAGGCTGCGGATATCACGACGGCTATCATCAAGGGCCAACTCGCTAGTGACGAGTCACAGGCCAGGATGAAGACTCGCATGGGTTACATGGGACATCTCACTCTCATCGCTGAAGAGGTGGTGAAGTTTACGGAACGTCACCCTCCCGAACTCTTGTCTGAGACTGTTCTTGAACGGGTTATGGACCCGCGATGGATCAGCTATGTGGAAGGCGCCCTCGCCGAAACTCGCGAGCGAGACAACGCCATTCTCGGCGGAGTCCGTCCCGAGGTGGCTATGGGTAACCGGGCCGGCATGTCTGGCAATGGGCTGGCAGCAGTCGGTCTCTCTGGCCTGGGATCGTCCTTTTCCAACTCCCAGAGCAATACTGGCTCCAACGCGCTCGCTGATGCAGGACTCAACGGTAACGCAGACCTTCAAGAAAGCAGCGGTAACGGTATTGGGCCATTCGCCATCAGCTCAGGCACTCTCATGTCTGGCTTCGGCAGCTCCAGTGATGAGGAGGACGAGGGGGAAGAAGAGAACGAAGACGATGTCAACAATGAGGTGAGTGATATGCTCTCAGAGCTCCGTGAGATGGAACCACCTGCATTGGACCCTTGGACGCAATCTCTTATCGACGACAATAACCCCGACGAGGACGAGGAAAAAGACCGGGAAAAGGATGCGTAGTGCGCATACGAGGACGGAGGACCCCATGACAGTCGAATATCCCAAGAGGATCACACCAACGGTGCCGGCGATGACTTTGGACGTAGGATAGATGTAGAGGACGAAAGCAACCATTCGCCGAACCTTGTATCTTGGGACGATAAGGGGGTATGGGCCAATGAGTTCGGAGATCTTGAGTCTGATGAGGAAATGCACATGATTCGGCCTTCCCTCAATTTTCATGTCATGGCTTAGAAGGAGAACGGATAGACATATCGATGACGAGAGCCTGGGAGAAGGGTAGAAAGGGCTCGGGGGCTATATAGGAGAGGGTGGTGTTGGGCGTATTCATGACATATCTTGTGGCGGCGAGTAGTGTAGGATTACACGTCCTTGTTCGTGCCGGCGTCGATTCCTTGGGATACCAGACAACTTTGGACTTTTCTTATCCACTTCAACCACTTGCGAGCCGGGTCATCTATAACAGCAAAACGACAATGACGAAACTTGCCTCCGGGATCTTTCTTACAATCGTGCGCCAATGTCGGAATGAATCTCACCAGACTAACACGCATTTACTAGTTCCGGGCTTATACCGATCCATTGAACAACACCTCATCGTCTCTCAACCCGCCATCGATCCCTCCGCCTCCGCCGCCGCCGCCGCCATTGAACAACCCTCCTTCTAGAGCGCGGTTGCAGCTTGCGGCTCGTTTGGCTATGCACCAGAAGAACCAGGCCGCTGCTTCTCAAGAAGACGACGACGACGACGACAAGGGCGAGTCTGGTGAGGGCGAGCGGCTAGAGAACCCGTTTGCCGATGACGAAGACGACGAAGAAAATTCGAGCGACGAGGACGACGAAGACCGTCATGGCCCAGGGGCAGCGGCAGCTGTTGCAGGTGCCTGGGGTCAACCTGGAAGTGGGTCGTGGTGGCGAGGGGTGGGACGTCAGGGGCGGCCACGATTTGACGGACAAGATGATTCGGACGAGGAAGACGACGATGAGGAGTTTGGTGATTTTGCCATGCCCGAGGTGGAGCCAGCGCCGGGTACGGATCCCAACGAGAAGGTGATTCTAAAGCCTCTCGCGGTACACCCGCCGCAGGGTGCTTCAGGAGGCAAAGCCTTCAGCGGTTTGTGGCCGTTTGCAGGTAAGAAGGATGGCAAGGACGATGGTGAGAAGGGGCCACCGGAAGAGACGGCGACGGGAGACGACGAGAAGCCGATCCAGGCGGCCGTCGAGGCTGCTCGGCGGACGAGCATCGAAGATCCGGATGACGATGAAGAGGTTGTGGTGCAGAAGCCGACAAGCCTCTGAGACGAATAGACGCGCCCATGGCTTAATGCGATGCGTAGACGGTTAGGAGTCACCGTTTTGTACAATTACGTGTTTGGTTTACGCTGCATCTGTAAAGTATGATTGAATGGAGAACATGCACGAGTATTTTGTCTAGCTGTGAGGTCGTCTTTTCTCTTCCTCTAATCTCCAGTTGCCACCGCTTCAAGTTTTCTATCATTATTGGAAAATCAGCAATGATCACGAGAGGCTGTAAGCCATTATGTGAGCATTCCAGCTCAGGCATATGTTTGGCTTGTTGTGTTCGCGGTCCCAAGTCCGGCCATCCCACCGGAGCTCCGACCGCATTTCGGGGCGCCATGCCGAGATCACTTTCTGTTCAATGACTGAATGAGACCTGTGAAAAGCAAAAATTGTCCGCTTCTGGACGAGACGAGAGTCACCGCCTACCTTTACAATGAGTCAGACCAGCCATCTGAGCTGACTGATTCGGCTGCCTGACAGATGGGACGGGGCCAGGGACTTTCATGCTCTCTGAGGAGCTTGGGGCCAATACCCCAACTACCTTTCCTTGTCTTGTACCGGAGGCGATAACGATAAGAGGTGATAATATTAAGGTGTTATTGTTGGAGGGAGGGGAACCTAGACCCCCGTCGATGTCTCGACCAGCAACACCAGCCAAAACCAGAAACACGCACTGGAGTCAAGCACAGGCAACATGCATCCCGTCCGACAATGCGCAGGGCCATGTGCCTGAGCCCTGAGCCCCTCCAAAACCTAGCTGTTTGACGTGCCGGGCAAGCTTAGCATGAACGTGTGGCCAACGTACCCTGCACCCCTGGACCCTCTCACTCCCAGCCCCTCTCGTTGTTTCTTGATGGGAGAAGGAATGGGTGGTGCTTTCTGAGGACTGCGGTGCATGACGTTGAGTGGGAGGGAGCTGGTGTTGAGGAAGGTAGATGAATTAGTGAAGAATTGTCGAGCTGGCTGACTACGGTGCTGAATTATACCATCGGACCTGTCTGGCTCTTCATCTTCTCATTCGTGCCGATTCATCTACGCCACCATCTGTCGTCATGTAAGTCCAGCCGTGTGTGTTTCTCTTGAGTTCACCGTCATCACCGCCTGTGCTCCTCTTCCTTCCTGTGGCCATCATATGTCCGGGTCCTCGGCGTCTTTGCGATTCCCGGACGCAAGCAAGCTCATACATCAGGCTACACCATTCTGCCTCGTGAAACCGAGAGTCCGGCACGCCGAGTAGGCCTCCTTCTCCTTCTCTCTCTGCCTCCAAGTCACGTCAAAACGCACGATGACGCCTCTCTGTGGCTCCTGTCGCTCTCTGCCGCTGACTCCCTCTGCCGATTACCGTCTCGTCCCAGCCTGAAGTCGTTCGTCTGTTTGTGAGAGAAGACACGTCGCGGCTAATGCGCTCCGGTGTTCTGGCAGATTCTTTTCTTTTTGGTCGTCTCGGGACCATCGACCTCTCCGACTCCGTACCTGGGCCATCGTCGTCACCGGCGAAAAGACTGCCAGGCTGTTCCGTTCTGCGAGTTTGAGCAGACATTGGCGGTGATCATATAACGCCGACATCACCCTTTGTCGCAAGAGTGTGAAAGACTTTCTTCCGAGACATGGCAGATATGGGTGTCGTAGGGAACGCAGAGTCCGGTAAGCCGGTTTACCAGCAGGCGCCTTCGATGCTCAACCGCATCGTGTACGGCACCAAGATTTCGACACTGCAGCATTGGTACTTTCAAAAAGCTGGCTTCGAGGCGTGGAAGTCGTACTTCTGGCCACCCGCCATACGGCCCGATCTCATCAAGCAGTATGACTGTAGGAAGGCATTGCCAGTTCGGTATGGTTTTCCCTTTTGTGAAAACGAAAACACTGCTAACCAATACGCAGCATCTTCTTTCCCTCCGACTACGACCAAACCTCCCCGCAAACCCTCCCGACCCTCTTCACAATCCACGGAGGCGGCTTCTCCATCGGCGTCCCCGACGACGACGACGAATGGAACCGCACCTTCGCCGACCTCAACAACTGCCTCGTCGTCGCCCTGCACTACTGGAAGGCCCCTTGGGCCCCCTGGCCGCACGCCCTCCACGACTTAGAGGCCCTCTACCTCGCCATCGTCGACGACGAGTCCCTCCCCATTGACAAGTCGCGCATCGCCATGGGCGGCTTCAGCGCGGGAGGGAACCTTACGCTGTGTCTCTCGCAGATGAAGAGCATTAAAGAGCACAGGACGGCTGCGCCGAAGGCGATTGTGCCAATTTACCCGCCTACGGATTTCGTTACGCCGACGGCGTCCAAGAGGGATCGCAGGCCGTACAAGGTTGGGAAGTTACCCGGCATCCGCGGCCAGAAGAAGGACTTTGTGCTGGATTTCGCAGAGGTGTTTGACTGGAGCTACATCCCCTACGGCACGAACCTCCGCGACACGCGCATCTCGCCTCTGTACGCCGAGAGGACCGATTTCCCGGATAACGTGTGCGTCGTGGCCGCGGAGCTGGATTACCTCGCCTACGAGGCGTGGGAGCTGGCGTGCAAGCTCGGCGGGAAGGGAAAGCCTAGTTCGGGAGTGGTCGGGCGGAGCGAGGTGGCCAAGACGCAGGAGCTGGTGGAGGAGGGGGACGAGAGGTTCGGGTGGGAGGTGAGGGATGGGAGGGGCAGTGTGAAGTGGCTGCTTGTGCCGGATGTGATTCACGCGTTTGATTTTCACGAGATGGGGGCCGCGGTATCGGATCCGGTGAGTGTGAGGGATGGGAATGCGAAGGCGGTAAAGGTCATGAGGGTTGTTGGGGACTGGTTGAGGAGGACTGCTTGGAAGGTGTGATTTGGACGGGGGAGAGTTGGCGTGAGAGATGTTGGATGGGGTGTATTTGAGGTCTTGTTGGCTTGGCTTGCTTGATGATGGACTACGTTGGCGTTGGGGGCAAGTTATGACAGAGACGCATGGCTTACAAGATAGAACTGATTACGAGCGACAAGAAATACCTCACACGATTCAAGTTGGTCAGACGAACGGGATGCTTAGAGGCCAAAGTGAACATGGTCGTATCATGGCAAGTGTGACTGTTGGTTGCTGAGAAAGACTTCCAACTACTGCTTTCACCAACATCACCAACACATAGTCAGACCCCCGACTTCTTTAGCCGCCTGGGAGAAGCGGTTAGACTTGAAGTTGTGGCCTTCGTCAAGGATGTGTCTCTATCAACCGCTGTGATGCGGCCGCGGTGCTCTTAGGTTACCTAGTAAGTTATGGATACAACTCTGCAGCATACATATCGAGAATCACCACCGCTGGGTTACCAACCGCTTGATCATCCTTTATGCTACCTAGTGCCCCAAGGACTTGACTGGTTGGGAACTAGGCCCATAAGTTACACCGGTTGAGTTGGTTGAGTTGGACATCACGATTCCGAATGTGGGTGGTTGATTTGCAACTTGCGAGAGACCTGCTGAGAAGTGATGAGTTGGGTAGTATTAAAACGGCATAGAGACACTATTTTTGTATGTTCAATGGTAGTTATACTGTTATTTATGAGAGGTATCTGTGTCGTTTTCGAAATCCATCGCCCTGCTGTGTCATCGACGCAAGCCATCTACAGCAAGTCCATGGTTGAAATGCTGCCGAGCATAACGGGCTACGAGGATCTTTCATAGGTATTAGTGATGATTTGCCGACCGAGATTGCCACTTAAACGCCAGAATAAAGGCAGTATGGGGTGGTTTTCACGAAATCGGCGGGAATGATTGGCTTCTAAATGGATTCATTCATAATAGATGTGTGACTGTCCATGGAACGCTCGAGCATGACAGACGTACTAGAAGTAAATTGCCTTCTGATCATGGAAAGATGCCAAATATACTTGAGGAAACTAATTTTCAGTCTCGTGAATCTCTGGGTGAACTTAGATAGGAGAAACTGGCCATTGTTGCGTAGGCAAATGATTAATCAATATGTCTGCTTTTGGCTTCGATGTTCCCATCACCAAACATCTGGATGTGTACCTCTTTGCAGCAAGTTCTTCAGCCACAGGTTTGATCTTGATAGAGAATACAGCAGAACCCGGGTTGGCCACAAAGAAGGTTGCATATACTGCGCGAAGAGCAGCAGAGGGGCACTGCAGGTCCAGCAAACTTGTTTGTCAATTCATCGATATTGCATCATTTGACAATGCTCCCAGCCAAGATGACCGGGATTGTGGGACATGACCCTCAATAGCTTTACAAAACGGACGTCATGAATAAGGCACGAGGAAAGGAGATGTGCAGCGCCTGTGGTTTTGTCGGCAGGACGACAATCTATAACTTCGCCAGTTAGGATCTATTCATAGTCGAGATAATCTGCGCTCTGAGACACCATCTCTTAACTCCATTATTTCGTAGCCGATGTGGTTTCCACCCGGATTGGAGCGTTTTCGGGCAAGCTTGTGCTTCAGATGAGAGTGTATGCATTCCCGCAACAGACAGGAATGAGAGGTTTCACCCCGTTGATATTAGCAACCCAAATGAAGTACCATGTTGTCCAAGAGACAACATTGCCCCCTGTCGAATGCAGACAGCAAACATGACCGATTTTCATCGTGGCTTCCTGCAATCGTAAGTGTGACTGCCTCAATACTCTCGATATCACCGTTGCTGGTACCCAGCGATGAACCCGTGGTCGATGACAATAACTCACGATTGCAAAGACAACTCCATCCGACGATCTGATTGCTCAGCCAGGCGCGTCCCCGTCACCGTACATGTACGTAGGGTGACACTATACACACCCTATCAAATTCAATACTACTGCTGCGCCGTCTGACTGCGTCGATTTTCGGTGTCCATCCCGTCAGCCCTGCACTGGGATACAACTGTCCGCTCCCGCGAGTGGGCAGCTTTACCTGACCCTCTCTCGGGCGGTTCGATCGTGCCGTACGAAACCCCCAACGCGGCGGGCGCACTGCACACACACGCACTCGATAACCGCCCTTTACCGCGGAAGCCTGGCGAGATACCACTTGGTTCAA